TGCTGCTCTTTCTTGAGAAAACTTCTATCAGAATTGTTTTTCAATCTGCCTTTTTATGGGATTTATGTTGTTTTCTGATGATTTTCTCTTTGGTTGTCCTATTTCTTATCCAGCTCAAGAGTGCTCTTCTTTATCTTGTTTTACTCCTCCTCTTTTCCAGTCACCAACCCTCTCTATCTTTGATATCCTCATATAAGTTTCTTTTAAACTATAGTACGGTTCACTGTAATCTGGTCCTTATGGCTACGGAGGAACCAAGTGGTCTTCGCCATAGAAACTGACTCACAAAGCCAAGTGTTGGAACCAATCAAACACAGATCTTTCAGTGGATTAAGGCAAAAATAAGGCCTGATCTATCTCAAGAGGATTGGCTCAAGGCTCCGTAGGAAACAAGTCATACTGAGCGGAGCAAGGTAAGTTGTAGGAGTCTGCTATGTTTTATATCCATGTGACGTTTTAGCTCTTCTTTGCTGATTCCAAAAACAAAAAACAAAAAAAAAGGTGTCTTTTACGCTAATAGATTTCCACAGTAATAGGATGCCCATCATATGAAGGACAGCGGCTTCATTATTTTCCGTTGTGCATTGAAAGCTTTTGGTTAAATGCTAATTTTAGTCCCTTAACTTTAAAGTTTTACACAATTTCTTTATCTCAACTTTTTTATGTACTTTTTTTATCTCTTAACTACGAAAAATGTATTTTTTTAATTTTTCATGAATTAGTTTGTTAAATTTATCTAAATATACACATTTTTAATCCTTTAACTTAAAATTTAGTGATAAAAAATATACATTTATTAAAAGTTGAGGGACTAAAAAAATATATATTTAAATAAACTTAATGAATTAATTGACAAAAGGATTAAAAATGGACATTTGTCATAACTGAGGCACCAAAAAAGTGTATAAAGAAGTTGAGGAATCAAAATTGACATATAATCAAAGGTTTTTTAGACACATACCTAGATTTTTTCTTAATAGTAAAAATATTATTTTTGTTGAAAGAGTACAAGAGGTACTCCAAACTCATAAAATGACTACATCATGTTCATTTTCTATGCAATAGTAACCAAAAACACCAGGCACTTGCCTAGGTATATAATAGATGATTCTTTCTATGTATGTAACAAAGATATGGTTTTAATGGTTTAAATGTACTTTGAGATAAATCAATTGATGAAATATCACTTTCCATTCTATTGTTTACTTCTCCTTGTGGTGTTGTCTTTGTGGTCACTCGGTTCTCGTGTACTGGTCCCACTGCATATTGGGCAAAGAATTTCCTAGATATATTGATGTGTTGTTTAAAATTAGAAGAACGAGGTTTATATTTTAGGGATAGAGTAAAATTAGAACATTCTTGTAAGTAAAATATTAAGAATGATTATGAAAATTAAAATATTTCTAATGAATTAACACCTACAAAAAATTCATTAAGGTTATTTGAATAATTTTACAAAAAATTAAGAAATTTTAATATTTAAACTGCTAAGGATGGTCATAATTTTTATTTTTCTCTAAATTTTATATTTTCTTTAAGTCTTATCTTTAAAAATTTTTTTAAACAGTAATAATATTATTAGTCAGATCAATACAAGGGCTCCAAGTTTTATCTTTTAAATTTAGATTAAATTTTTTTCCTTTCTTTTCAATCAATTATAAGTGTACATGGGTGATAACACTGTTAGTATGATGAGTTGAAAATTTATATTTATGTGTAGAAATTCTTTTATACAAGAATTTTGAGATATGTTTCTGCAGATGATTGCCGTGGTTGCACCCGAACACGAGAATATACGTCTCGCCATTGAAATGATTCTTCCCCAACGTGATATACAAACATCTTCATTTCTTAGAGTTTCAGGGGCTGGTATGTCAATTGCAGTTCATGTTAACAATCAATGGCACATTGTAAGGATCTCTGCTGGTTTCTTCGAACACTTCGATGCCCGTACTACAACAGGAAGGACAGTGGGAGTGGATATCTTCCAATTTTATGATTTTCTAGCTCCTCACTTGAAACGTAATTCGCGTTTCACCATCATAGTTGAGAATGAAGGATCTACTTCGGATCGCATCAGGGTAAGGTATCAAGGTAAGGTATCAAGATAAGCAGCATTTTTGTGGAATTCATATGCTTGCTATGTGTGCATGGTTTCTTCTCAATGTTGAGTGATACGTAGCATTTATATTCTATAAGAAGTTAGTACGTTAATAGCCAGTGGAGAATTAACTAGCTAGGTAATTAAGTAGAGAATACAATATATTGCATTTATTGGATATATACTTAGGACTCAAGACTAGTGTTTATAATTTGTACCAAGAGAAAGAATGGAGAAGAACCAAGAAGAAGAAGAAGAAGAGAAACCAATTGAGTAGAGAATAAGAAGAGCACAATAATGTTCTAAGAAAGAGACTAGGTGAAATATTCATTTTGCTATGCTTTCGCTAACCCAGAATAAATCAGCTAGAGGTTCGTACAATTTCCCAATCTGGTAACACAGCAATTTGAAAAATTTT